AAACGGCCGATCGTCCAAGGTTGAGCGATCCCCGCTGTGTCAGCAACCAGCGCCGAAGTCGGCACGACACGAACCTGACGTGGAGCCTTGCCGGTATCGTTTTGGCTCCCTCCTGCACGGGCTGTGTGAGGCCTTATGTCGGGCCTGTCCCCCTACATGTGGATTTTCGACGAAAAATGAACAATACACCAAAAATACACCAAACAGGTTAAAAAATACTGAACAAAATGCTCCCCAGACTATTTTCGGATAATTGTTTGATAATTTCTGGGGTATTCTTAATTTTCCATCGAAAATCCCCCTGTAGGGGGACGGGCCCGACTTAAGCCTTGCGCCTGGCCATGGCCAGGGGCGGCAGAGCTCTCCTGCGCCGGGCCCACCAGCTGGGAGGGCCTGAGCCGGCAGGAGGGCCTGGCTGGGCCACGAGTCCAAGGGAGGAAGAACACCCCAGCCCCTGCAGCTCGCGTTGGCAGGAGGCCGTGCTGGGCCACAAGTCCAGGGGGGAAGAGCACCCCAGCCCCTGCGACTGGGGTTTGCCGCAGGGCCCTGGGCGTTTGCTAAAGAGCCCTGCCCTGTTCGATTCCGCCCCTGGGTGCGTTTCCTGCACCGCTGTACGGCGGCGCTCGTCGGGGTCGGGTTTTCCTGAGTGTGCTCTTTGTTCTGCTCTCTGGCAGGAGCGGTGCGAGCCCGTCCCCACCTCCTGGAACGCCCTCCGGGGCGGCGTCCGCGTTGTTCTCTCGCGACCTCACGGCCCGGCTGCCCAAGCCCGCGTCCTCCCTCCCCCCCCCGCGGCCGCGCCATGGCCGCAGCCGCGGCGGTCTCGCCGCCGCAGCACGTCTGCTTCCTCTGCTGCCGCAAGTTCCCCAGCACGGAGTCCCTGGCGCGCCACGAGCTGGCCTCCGACCTGCACCGGCGAAGCTTGGAGAAGCAGGACGAGCTGGTGAAGGATCGGGGGTGGACAGACCTCCTACCCTGACGCGTCGATTAGCGAATTGGCCGTTTTCGATTCGCGAGAGGGCGTCGCGGCCGTACTTCGGTTTCGCTCCCAGGCCGTTTTCATTGAAGGGAGGTTTATTGAAGGGAGGTTTGTCCACCCCCGAAAGGAGCACAAGGAGGAGGTGCTCGCGGGGATCACGGCGCTGAGGCTTTGGGGAGGAGCAGATGCCGACACTGCCACGTACTCCGATTTTCTTGGTGAGCGTCGGGGGGGCGCCACCCCCGCCGACAGCCCCGCATCGACCCCCGTCGCGGGCGGCCACCGCGCGCCGAAGGCGCTCGGACCCCCGTCGCAGCGCGAGGACGAGGCGAGGCTGACCCCCGTCGGGGGGGTCACCCCCCCCTACGCTTCCCGAGGAGCCCCAGGGGTGCCCTTCCCCCGTCGCCGCGGCTGGCCTCGCCTCGAGCACCCTGGTCGGACAGCGCGCCCCCCCCCCCCCCCCCCCGGAGACGTCCGGGAGCGCGGCGGTCGGGGTGCCCCTCGCGGGGGTTGCCACGAGGGTGCCCCCGGGCCCCCAGGGTGCCGCCAGCTCTTCGCTCAGGTTTGGAGCCCCGTGGTCGGAAGCTGGAGCATCTACAGGACCAGTGGCGGGCGGTGTTTCAGTCTCCCGGGACTTTTATGAGGGTCGAGGACGACGTCGGGGTGGTGTGGTGTATATTTTTTTCCCCGATGTCCCGGGGAAACAGCGAAAACTGTGTACACCAGGGTCCCGTATACACCAGGATCCGCTCTCCAGTGCAAAAGCCGATGCAGGGCCCGAAGAAGCGTCGGTGTACAGAGTTCGATTGTCTACATGGGATCTTCTGGACCTCGTGAGGAGTGCTCTGGAGGCCTTGGGGGCCCCCTTGAAATTCTCGAGAAAAGGGCGCCACAAACATAAACTCTTGGCGCCCCGCGCGGAGTTCTTGGGTCCGCGCTGGGCCCCCCAGGCGGCGCCTCCGGCGCCGCCCCTGGTGCACTCGGGGGGTCCAGGGCAGATCCGAGGAACCCGCGCGGAGCGCCAGAAGTTTATGTTTATGGCCTTTCGCCTTCCTTCAGAATCCCAAGAAGTGCACGAGCTGACACTTTGCACGTAGCTTTCCCTCCGCGCCTTCCCCTCCCCCCCTTCCTCCCCTCTCCCCCCCTGCCTCCTCCGAGCGTGCTGAAGCGACATTTTTCGGCGGCGCATCCCACGCATGTTTCTTTCGTACGAAGAGTAGCCAACCGCGCTCTCTTCTGCCTACGCGTCCTGCCGGATGCTTGGCTTCCTTGCTTGCTTGCTAAAATCCCTGGGACACCTTGGGCCAGGTGCACTTCTAGCAGCACCCGACTCCTTTGCTTCAGGCACCAGCTGCATGATAAGGCCGCGGCCGCCCAGCGCGTGGAGCTGGAGGGCAGGCTCCGGCAGCTGCTGGGGGAGTTCGCGCAGGCGCAGGTCGGGGGCCCCCCAAACGGTGTGGTGACCACACCGCCGTGTGGTGAGTCGAGGGGGATGGGTCCACCGCACGGTCTTTTGGGACCTGGGCCGTGCTCCGAGGAGGTCCCTGGCGATCTGGGGCCTCCGGGCTCCCCAAGACCGTGTGGTGAAGGACCCTGCGGCGAGGTCTTTGCCGAGCTCGGGGTCACCGCCGGGTCTGTCACCACACGGTGTTGGGTCGGCAGCTCAAGGACGGGGTCCTGAGGCATGGGGTCCTGAGGACGAGGTGCCTCAAGCAAGATGCAGATCCGCCCTTGGACCCCTTCCTGTCCTCAAAAGGACCCCCTCCCCTCGGGACCCCCTCCCTCACCACCGCACGGTTCGTTTGGGCCCCCACGCAGGAGATGCTGGAGTTCAGCAGGGCCGCCCACGCCGCCAGGAGGCTGCACGCGAGCTCGGGGGGCACGGCGGGCCGCCCCGCCACGTCGAGCTCCCTGAGGCTGGGGTTACGACGGGCCTGTCCCCCTACAGGAGGATGATGGACGATCTTCTTTTTAATGTTCAAAACATGCCCAGAAATAGTAAAGAAAAATAGTCCACAGAGTATTGTTTGACTATTTTTGAATTCCCCCCCTGTCGAGGGACGGGCCCGACTTAAAGGCTGGGGCGGCTGGAGCTGGACGTGGGCGTGTCCACGTGGCAGGGGGGCAAGGACATGCAGGAGCCACGAGGGGAGGCCACGCGCAGGCAGCAGAGCAAACGCTGCCTCGCATGAGAGAGGAGGCATGGGACATGTGCGGGAGATGGAGGGGAAGAGGAGCCGCCCGGAGATGTGGAGAATTGTATCGTGCCTTCTGGAAGTTGTGCCTCTCTGCTGGTGTCTCCCTGGGCCCCCCTCAGGAGGACCGCTACGTCCTGGAGATGCACCTGCGCGCCGCCGACGGGCAGACGGCGGTGGGTTTCTGCGTGCTCGACGGGCACTCCGGGCCGAGGTTCGAGCAGGGGATCGACTACACAATTAATCACACCTGAGAAAACCCAATCGGTGGATGGTTTGAACATTAGTCATCTGGATCTTGAGATCGACTGTGAGATCGATAATGAGATCGATAGTGGAATCGACAGTTGACGATTGTACGGTCGATCGTGAGACCGAGAGTGAAATCGATTCAATGAGATCGATAGGTGGATCGATCGCGAGATCGCGCGATCTTGTGAGATCGCTTGCGAGATCGATTGTGATATCGATTGTGAGATCGATGGTGAGATCGATAGAGAGGTGGGAAATGAGATTGATGCTGAGACCGATCGAGAAGAAGATCGACCAGGAACCCGGGAACCTGGGAACCTCGCCGCCCACCGAAATCGGCCCTGGAACCGGGAACCGGGGAACCCGGAACAGGGAACCCAGGAACGCGGCCTGCCGCCAAAGTCGGTGTGAAACATTCGCCTTCTTTTTCAATGTCCGCTAGAACCCCTTCAGTGCAAACACTGATTGGGGAATTGATTTTCCGGTAGATTCATGCGGCGATGGCGCGCCGCCGACGCCAGCGAAGGCGTTCAAGGTTGAATTCTGCATGGTGGGGCGACGCGGAAGCACCGAGGGATACGGTAATGCCACACGACCCGACGGAATTCACAATTTTCGACGATCGGGACCGCGATCGATTCAAAATAGAGTGATCGATGCGGTATCGAAAATTTTGTGATTGCCGACGCCGCGCGGACCTACCGTACCCACATGCTGACATGGTTGTCGAACCTATGGGAAATACATTCTCAGATCCGCGAGCATCCTACATGATCTTCTGTGGGTTCGACATTCATCAATTTTGGGGTGCAGCAGCTCTGTGGTCGATCTCCTCGAGAGGTGCGTGGACCACCTCGTGGAGCACCTGCCCGCGAACCTCCAGGCCGCTGTGCAGGGCAAACCCACGATCACCACGCAGACGCTGGAGCAGGCCGTGCTGGAGGCCTGCCAGCGCACCGACAGCGAGTTCCTCGCGCCGGCGAGGCCCGTGGGCAAAGCATTCGGGGCTCAAGAGATGGGGGTCAACGCAAACGGGGGTCAGCCAGAGCGTCAGATCCTGCAGTATCCTGCAGGGACATGGCTGCATGGACCTGGGTCTGGGTACAGGATCCTGCAGGATCCTGCAAGGCCCGACTGACCCGGGTCTGCATTGACCCGGGTCAGTGCGTCCCCGATACACATATCAGTATCCGCTGCCTCGCGGGCCGGGCCCCGGGGCCGCGGTCCCGCGGATGCTGGGCGTTTTTTTGTTCGCGGATGCCCTGCGCAGAACGTAGCCGTGCGACCGTTTATCCGCGGGATCGCGCCCCGGAATCCAGACCGCGAGCGCGCAGATGCGGAGACGCTCGTTGCTCGCGAGAGGCAGCTGGAGGCGATGGACGGGTCCACCAGTCGGGTGCTGCCAGACGCGTTCCTGTGGCCCGAGGCGTCCCCAGGACTTGCGCAGGGAGGCCCCACGGCCTCCACGAGGCCCAGATAGGGGCCCCATGTGGCTCCAAAGGGGCGCGAGAAGCTGGGGGCACCTTAGGCCAGGGACGCCTTCGGCAGCCCCCGGGCCGTGATCCTGGGGCTGCTCTATGAGGAGGAGGGCAAGTACCGCCTGCTCGTGGCGAACGTCGGGGACTCGAGGGCGGTGCTGTGCCGCGCCACGGACAGGCGCGGGCAGCTGGGGGCGCTCAGGCTATCGCAGGACCAGAAGCCCGACCGAGAGGACGAGAAGCAGCGGGTGCAGGCCAAGGGTGGCGAGGTCGGGTTCCAGGGGGTCTGGAGGATCTCGAGGAACATGAGACCGCACGAGCCCACCCCTTTGTGCAGGTCCGCGCGGATGTCTCGGGTCGGCGCTGGGCCCACCTGGTGGCGCCGTCCGCAATTGCCGCCCTTGCCCCTCTCCGCGCGCCAGTGGATGATAGGATTAAGTCGGGCATATCCCTCTACTGGAGACATGTATATATATATATATATAGATATATGTATGTATATACAAGACTGCATTGGCACTGCGCGCCATGCACCCTGGTCTTTTGAGTTCTGCACGCAAGCGGAATGCGTGCGTGCGAACATGCGCGCATGCATGTATACACGCGTACGTGCATGCACGTTCCATATAAATGTCTAGGTGTATACAATATACTTGCATTGTTGTATGGGTATGCAGCGTACATATGTACATATAATTTTCTGTGTGTAAGGGTATGAACATGCATACGCAACTCGTACGGGGCATCCTCGGGCATCTTCGCTGCATGCCACGAGACCCTCAACGACTGGGTCACAATATGAAATGTCATGGGAGCAAAATCAATGAATGTTGGCATTCGGAACATCGTGGGGGTGTTTTCGGGGCCCTCGTGGGCGGTTTTGGCGCCTTCATGGGCCGTCCTAGGGCCTTCTTGGGCCGTCTTGGGGAGCTTGGGCCCGCTGGATCCCCCTTTGGACCCATCTTGGGCACTTCAGGGGACCTCCCACGGCCCTTTTGAGTCTGTGCTGGGAGCCCTCGGGGGGCCTCTTGGTTCCATTATGGGCTGTCTTGGGGTTCTCGTGGGCGATCGTGGGGCCTGGCTCGGCCGTCTTGAAGCTTTCTAGGGGGCCTTTTGGAGCGTCTTGAGGCGATCTCGGGGGCGTTGAAACCGTCTGGAAAGCTGATGAAATCCGAAAGGCGAACATGGAAATTTTTAAGTTTTACGAAGGGAATGGGGCGATTTGTGTGAAGGCCCCTTGGAAAGCTTTTTGGGGTGCCTTGGGGGTCTTTATGTTGGCATTTGGAAACATCGTGGGGGTGTTTTCGGGGCCCTCGTGGGCCGTTTTGGCGCCTTCATGGGCCGTCCTGGGCCTTCTTAGGCCTTCTTGGGGAGCTTGGGCCCGCTGGAGCCCCCTTTGGACCCATCTTGGGCACTTCCGGGGACCTCCCATGGCCCTTTTGGGTCTGTGCTGGGAGCCCCTGGGGGGCCTCTTGGTTCCATTATGGGCTGTCTTGGGGCTCTCGTGGGCGATCGTGGGGCCGAGCTCGGCCGTCTTGAAGCTTTCTTGGGGGCCTTTTGGGGCGTCTGGAGGCGATCTCGGGGGCTTTGAAACCGTCTTGAAAGCTGATGGAATCCGAAAGGCGAATATGCAAAAATTGTAAGTTTTACGAAGGGAATGGGGCGATGTTTGTGCTTTGAAGGCTCCTTGGAAAGCTTTTTGGGGCGCCTTGGAGGTCTTTTGGGCCGTCCTGACGCAATTGGAGTCCCTCTTGGAGCGCTCTTGTGCTGCCTGGGGCCTCCCTTGAGCCTTTCTGATGACCCCTCGGATCGCTCTGGGTCTGCTGGGAATGCGTTTGTGGAGACCCGGGCAGCCGGGTGAACTTTTCCAAGGACGTCCAAGGGAGCCCGAGAACCCCAGATCCCAGGGGTACAGTTTTTTGGGGGGATGTGAGGGTTTCCCCCCCCCCCGGGCTTGTAAAAATATTGGAAGAGGAATATGTATACTTCCCCAACCATCCTGTGGTGTTGGGTCCTTGTCTTTACGAGACGGCGCCCCGTGTTCTCCTCCTCCTCCTCCTCCTCCTCCTCCTCCTCCTCCTCCTCCTCCTCCCCCTCCTCCACATCCTCCTCCTCCTCTTCCCGCCTCCTTCCTCTTCACCCACCCCAGGACAGCGTTTCGTGGCTTTAAATGGAGCTCCACCGAAGCCCCCTGGGACCGCACGCATGCGTCAGCCACCACCCAGCACAGCACTTCATGGCCCCATAAGGGGGGCTCCACCGAAGGCCCCAGGTGCACCGCCCGCATGCGTCAGCCACCACCCAGCACAGCGTTTCGTGGCCCCATAGGGAGCTCCACCGAAGGCCCCAGTGGCACCGCCCGCATGCGTTTCCCCAACCCAGGACAGCGCTTCGTGACCCCATCAGGGAGTTCCTTCGAAGGCTCCAGAGGGACCGCCCGCGTGCGTCAGCCACCACCCGGCACAGCGTTTCGTGGCCTCATAAGGGAGGTCTACCGAAGGCCCCAGTGGCACCGCCCGCATGCACCGAAGGTCCCAGTGGGGCCGTTCGCATGCGGCTCCCCCCACAGGACAGCGTTTCGAGGCCCCATAGGGAGCTCCACCGAAGGCGGCAGTGGCGCAGTTCGCATGCGTCTGACCCACCCATGACAGCGCTTCGTTTCCCATAGGGAACTCCGCTGAAAGCGGTACCCACAATGCGCCACTCGCAGCTGCATATGTTTGGGTTTTTCGTCAGGCTAATTTTGATGCTTTTTCCCCGAGCCATCCTGTGGTGTTGGGTCCTTGTTTTGAAGAGACAGCGCCCCGCGTCTCACCTCCTCCTTCTGCCCCCTCCCTCCTCCTCCTCCTCCTCCTCCTCCTCCTTCTCCTCCTCCTCCTCCCATCCGCCTCGTCATCGTCACCGTCATCGCCATCATCGTCATCACCATCGCCCTCGTCATGATCCACATCATCGCAGTCATGACCATCGCCATCGTCAGCGCCGCGCCCCTCACACGGTTCGTGGCACCACAAGGAGCCCCACCGAAGGTCAAAGTGGCAGCGGTTGCATGCGTCACCGCCGCCCCATTTTGGCACATCCTTCACACGGTTCGTGGTCACATAGGGATCTCCACCAGAGGCCTCAGCGGGAGCGCCCGCATGGCACCGCCGCCCCATTTTGGCACACCCCTCACACGGTTCGTGGCCCCACAGGGAGCTCCAACGAAGGCCCCAGCGGGAGCGCCCGCATGGCACCGCCGCCTCATTTTGGCACACCCCTCACACGGTTTGTGGCCCCACATGGACCTCCAACGAAGGCCCCAGCGGGAGCGCCCGCATGGCACCGCCAGTCGGGGTCCCATAAGGAGTTCCACCGAAGGCCCCAGCGGGAGCGTCCGCAGGGCACCGCCGCCCCATTTTGGCACACCCCTCACACGGTTCGTGGCGCCACAGGGAGCTCCACCGAAGGCCCCAGCGGGAGCGTCCGCATGGCACCGTCGCCCCATGTGGCACACCCTTCACACGGTTCGTGCCCCCATAGGGAGGTCCACCGAAGGCCCCAGCGGGAGCGTCCGCATGGCACCGTCGCCCCATTTTGGCACACCACTCACACGTGTCGTGGCCCCATAGGGAGTTCCATCAAAGGCCCCAATGGGAACGTGCGCATGGCACCGCCGCTCCATTATGGCACACCCCTCACACGGTTCGTGGCCCCATAGGGAGCTCCACCGAAGGCCATAGCGGGAGCGTCCGCATGGCACCGCTGCTCAAATTTGGCACGCCATTTACACGGGGTTCGTGGCCCCATAGGGAGTTCCGCCGAAGGCCACAGCGGGAGCGCCCGCATGCTTCACACGCTTCGTGGCCCCAGAGGGGGCTTCACCGAAGGCCCCAGCGGGAGCGTCCGCATGGTACCGCCGCTTCATTTCGGCGCACCCCTTGCACGTTTAGTGGCCCCATAGGGAGCTTCACCGAAGGCCCCAGTGGGAAAGTTCGCATGACACAGCCAGCCCAGTTTGGCACACACCTCACACGGCTCGTGGCCCCATAGGGAGTTCCACGGAAGGCTCCAGTGGCGACGTTCGTAGGAGTCTTCCCGACTCATGTCGGCACACCCTTCACACGTATCGTTGCAGAAGGCTATACCGCGTGCGTTACTCGGAGTTTGCGCGCCCCCCTCCTTCGTCTCATCTCACTCGCGCCACTCGCAGCTGCATATGGTTGGGTCCTTCGTCAGGCTAATTTCCCTAACCACCGTGTGGTGTTGAGCCCTCGCTTTGAAGAGACAGCGCCCCGCGTTCCTCCTCCTCTCCTTCCCCTCCCCTCTGCTTTCCGCATGCCAACCATTCTGGCACACCCCTCACGAGGATCGTGGCACCATAGGGAGCTCCACCGAAGGCCCCAGTGGCACAGGGCGCATGCGCTCGTCGCCCATTTGGCACACCCCTCACACGGTTCGTCGCCCCATAGGGAGTTCCAGCGAAGGCCCCAGTGGCACAGGCCGCATGCGCCCGTCTTTTTCATCTTGGCACACCCCTGACACGATTCGTGGCCCCATGGGGAGTTCCACCGAAGGGCCCAGTGGCACAGGCCGCATGAACCCGACGCCCATGTTGGCACACCCCTCACACGGTTCTTGGCCCTACAGGGAGTTCCACCGAAGGCCCCAGTGGCACAGGCCGCATGCGCCCGACGCTCATTTTGGCACACCCCTCACACGGCTCGTGGCCCCACAGGGAGTTCCAGCGAAGGCCCCAGTGGCACAGGCCGCATGCGCCCGACGCCAATGTTTGCACACCCTTCACACGGTTCCTGGCCCTACAGGGAGTTCCACCGAAGGCCCCAGTTGCACAGGCTGCATGCGCCCGACGCCCATTTTGCCACACCCCTCACACGGTTCGTCGCCCCATAAGGAGCTCCACCGAAGGCCCCAGTGGCACAGGCCACATGCGCCCGACGTTCATGTTGGCACACCCCTCACACTTTTCTTGGCCGTGTAGGGAGCTCCACCCAAGGCCCCAGTGGCACAGGCCGCATGCGCCCGTCGCCCATTTTGGCACGCCCTTCACACGGTTCGTGGCGCCATAGGGAGCTCCACCGAAGGCCCCAGTGGCACAGGCCGCATGCGCCCGACGCCCAGTTTGGCACATCCCTCACACGGTTCGTGGCCACACAGGGAGTTCCAGCGAAGGCCCCAGTGGCACAGGCCGCATGCGCCCGTCGCCCATTTTGGTATTCCACTCGCACGTTCCCTGGCCCTACAGGGAGCTCAAACGAAGCTCCCAGTTGCACAGGCTGCATGCGCCCGACGCCCATTTTGGCACACCCCTCACACGGTTCGTCGCCCCATAGGGAGTTCCAGCGAAGGCCCCAGTGGCACAGGCCGCATGCGCCCGTCCTTCTCATCTTGGCACACCCCTCACACGGTTCGTCGCCCCATGGGGAGTTCCACCGAAGGTCCCAGTGGCACAGGCCGCATGCGCCCGACGCCCATGTTGGCACACCTCTCACACGGTTCTTGGCCCTACAGGGAGTTCCACCGAAGGCCCCAGTGGCACAGGCCGCATGCGCCCGACGCTCATTTTGGCACACCCCTCACACGGCTCGTGGCCACAGGGAGTTCCACCCAAGGCCCCAGTGGCACAGGCCGCATGCGCCCGAAGCTCATTTTGGCACGGTTCGTGGCGCCAGAGGGAGTTCCACCGAAGGCCCCAGTGGCACAGGCCGCGTGCGCCCGACGCTCATTTTGCCACACCCCTCACACGGTTCCTGGCCCCATAAGGAGCTCCACCGAAGGCCCCAGTGGCACAGGCCTCATGCGCCCGACGTTCATTTGGGCACACCCCTCTCATGGTTCATGGCGCCATAGGGAGCTCCACCGAAAGCGATACCCACAACGCGGTATTCACAATTGCGCATGGTAGGGTCTTTCGCCAGGATAATTGAATATTTGCTGTACTATTTTTGATGTTTCTTTCCAAATCCGCCTGTAGGAGGACATGCCCGACCTAACGATTGGGGGTCCAGCGCCGACCCGAGGAATCGGTGCGGATTCGGCGGCGCGCGCACGGAGGAGTCGCAAGTGGGGCAAAGAGTTTTTTTTTTAAGCCAGGGGCCTGCCCATCAGGAGCCATCGGCGCCCAAGAAGGGGCTCTTGTACGCCGGGAGGGCCACTTGCCGCCTCCAGGGAGGCGCCCCCCCCCCCCTGCGCTATGCAGTGGGGGTGCGCATCAAGAAACCATGTGCTTTTCGTCAGGGTGTCCTGGGTTTCTTCGCTCCCGCTGTGCGGTGGCTTCCCGCAGCCGTTGAAGAAGCTGCTGCGTTCAGGGCGCTCCCGGACTCCCCTCAGGCGCACCTCCCGCGCGGGATTTCAGGTTTGGGTTTCTTGCGAGGGTTTCTTGCGGCCGCGCCCTCACTGTACGCCCTGGTGCGCGCCGGTCACGGACCTCCGCCAGTCTGTGTGCCTGTGCCGTTCTCTGCTCGTCTCCAGGATCTTCCTCCCCGAGCCGGTGCGCTTCGGCGGCCGCCTGATCCCGCGCTGGGGCCTGGCTGTCTCGCGCTCGTTCGGGGACCTGCTGCTGAAGGAGCCGGAGAACTACGGCTGCAGCAAGGTGGGGCCCATCTCGATCCGATCGAGCCGATGCTCAAGCAATGGCGAAGCGTTCTGGCGTGCCTATAGCCCTACCAAACAATGTTCTAAGACCCTATTTGTGGTTTCCACGAAATGCTCTTAGAACATTCCTGGTTGAGCCTGTCGTGTTTTCACACATCGGGCTTATGCTCTAAGAACATTGTTTTTACTCTGAGAACATTTTTGGGTTCAAGAACATGGCGTGGTAGGACTACAGGAATGCCGGGACGGTCGGTCCCTGCTCAAATCGAGCCGATTCGGCGTCGCTCTCGGCGGTGCCTGCGGTGGCGATGCGATGCTGTCCGGTGCCTGCGTGGCGCTGCTGTGCATCCTGGCGCGGCCACCTCGATTGGGTTGCGACTCCTCGCGGATGCGGCTCGAGGATTGCGCACATTCCGAGATCGGCGCTGCACTGGAAATCTGCGCAAGTTCTGAAAGCGGCGCTGAGATCGGCGCGAAATTTGAGATCGGGACAGTTCTCAGCAACAAGAAACTACGCGACTTCTCGGGGGCTCCTCGCTGTTTTCTGCGATCGGCGCTGGACCTGAAATATCTGCGCAAATTCTGAGGTCGTCGCTGAGATCGGCGCAAATTCGGAGATCGGGCCAGTTCTCGGCAACAGGAAGTTACGCGACCTCTCGGAGGCTCCGTGCTGGTTTCTGCGATCGGCGCTGGATTGGAAAGGTCTGCGCAAATTCTGAGAGCGGCGCTGAGATCGGCGTAAAGTCGGAGATCGGGCCAGTTCTCGGCAAGAGGAAGTTTTCGCGACCTCTCGGAGCTTCCGCGCTGGTCTCTGCGACTGGCGCTGGACCGGAAATATCTGCGCAAACTCTGAGATTGACGCTGAGATTGGCGTACATGTTGAGATCGGCACCATTCTCTCGGCGTCCCCCCAGGCGACGCGCGCACCGAGAAATCTTATAGTATATGCGTCGTGGCGGGCGCTTTCTGGCCACACCGCTCGAGAAACGATATACTACAAGATGGGTATACTCTATGTTCGGGTCGGACGCGCGCCTCCAAGGCGGACGTATAATATTAGTATGTCTCTGTGCGCCCCATTCTCGGAAACAAGAAATTACGCGACTCCTCGGAGGTCCGCGCTGATTCCTGAGGTCGGCGCTGGATGCGTCCCCGCGGGCCGCGGGCGCGCGCAGCGCGCCAGGGGCGGCGCCGCCGTCAGGGGGGTGGGCCCCAGCACCGAGCCAAGAAAGCCGCTCGGACCGTCGAAAGTTTGCTTGGTATCGCTCGGACGTGTGCACTTTTTCCCGGCGGGGGATTCTTAAGGAGCATGCTGGATCATCCTGCGAAAAAGCCACGCACGAAACCGACAAACAAACACAGGGAATTGACCCACCAATCGGCGGCGAGCGAGGGTGGGGGAAGTGAGAAGGGGAAGGCCTTCTCAGAAGGCGGCGGGACTTCTCAGAAGCCCTCGCGCCTTCTGACAGATGTTCTGCGTCTTCGGGGAAGACAGAGAAACTTCTCAGAGGACTGGGAGCCTTCCGAGCCTTCCGAGAAGGCCCGCCCCTTCTCACTTCCCCCCTGGGCTCGCCGCCGAACCAAACTGCCCCAAACCCAACGCGAAGGCCCCAATTTGCCCTCCATTCCCAGTGGCTGGGGTGTCGGGGAATACTGAAGAAGCACATGTGAAACTCGTGCCTCTTCCCCCGACCCGAAATGTGGGTCTTCGGGGTAGGTTGGGGTGGTCTGGTAGGTAGCCAGCCGATACAGCTACACTGCTCCTCGAGATTCGGCGGACGTTCCGATCCGAGCCGATTGTATCGATGCGCTGCCGACCGCCGCCCGAGGTCACGCCGGGCGGGCTGGTCTCCGCCGATCCCGAGCTCCACGTGGTCGACGTCGACCCCGCCACCGACAGGTTCCTGGTGCTGGCCTGCGACGGCATCTGGGACGTGCTGCGGGACGAGGACGCCGTGGCCGTATGCGCGGGGCAGGCTCAAGGGATGAAAGGGTGCCGATGCGCGTCGGTCGCTGAAGAGGGCACTTCCGGATCCCCAGATCCCAATCTGCTTCAGCCGCCTTCCTACTTCAAAAGAGTCTATATTTTTTGTTTCTCGTCCCTCCTTCTCGGGGGGTGGGCGCAGACCCAACCTGCTTTCACCGCCTTCCTACAGTCGGCCCGGATTAGTAGGTCGACCCTGCCAGCTCAAGGGTACCCTTGTGTCCTGTGCCTCGCGACGCGTGCCTTCTTACACTCCTATGGCGATGTGGCCCTCGGAAGGGTCTGGTGTCCTCTCGCGCGTCCTGTCCAATCAAGTCCGACTGTACTTCATGTTCCTGCCCGCTTCTTCCGACCGACGGGCACCGAGGCCCTGGCCTCGTTTTTTCGCATCTTTGGGGCCTCCGGGGAGGCTCTCGTCGCCACGGAGTCGCCTCGAAGTTCTGGTCCTGGGCGAGGTCCGGGGAGTGGTGGCATCGGCACCTCTCGGTATCCTTGTGGAAGTCGATCAACGGAGAGGAAGCGTGCTGCCAAATAATTTCCAGAGGTCTAGAAGATGTCCAAGTCGGTTACGTTTTGAGCATGTAAAAACAAGCATGCTTGAGACATGTTTAGAATCTTTTCTATTTGTTTCAAACACATCTTTAGCGCCTCCTCCTCCTCCTCCTCCTCCTCTCCACCTCCTCCTCTCTACCTCCTCCTCCTCCTCCTCCTCCTCCTCCTCCTCCTCCTCCTCCACTGCCATGGCATCCACAATGCCATCCCCGAGGCCGGGGCCGAGCTGGCCGCGCACTCCCTGGTGCCCGGCTCAGCCTGCCCGGCTCGGCCTGCGGGGGGCCGGACCCCCGGGGTCCTCGCGGGGCTGCCGCGGCGGCCGGCGTCCGCGGACGTCTCGTGTTAGTCGGGAGCCTTGAGACGGGGGTCCATGCAAACGGGGGTCAGCCAGGGCACCGGATCCTGCAGGATCGTGCGAAGACCCCCTCTGGCTGACCCGTGTTAGCGAGCCGCTCGTGGCCGCGAGGCGGTCGCGCATATTGGCTGACCCGGGTTTGCGAAGACCTGCGGTGCAGTTTTTTTTTCTGCATTGCAGTTTTTTGGTTTCCTGCTGACCCGGGTCTGGATTGACCCGGGTCAGAAGATCGCCGAGTCTTAGGTCAGGCCTGTCCCCTTACAGGGGGATATTGAAGGGGAAATAGGAAATATACAAAACATACCCCCAAGTTGCTCAAACATGGTCAACAAAAATCGTCCCCAGACTAATTTTTCCTATTTTTGAATATTCCCCCTGTAGAGGGACAGGCCCGACTCCAGTCTCGTGTGCACCTGACAGCGCTGGCCTCTCCCGAGGCGTCGTCGATCCTCGACCCACAGTGCGGTGCACACCTGTTGGGCCCCCAGGGTCTCGGGCCGAACGAAAGGGGGGATCTAGGGAAAGGGGGAGTTACGAAATCTGCTGCATGCAGCCGGTTTCGGCCCCGCCGCCGGGCCCATTCCGTGATACATGGGCGCCTCCCTGCGCCGGGAGGCGCTGGGTAAATCAGCTACGTGAGCTGATTCTCTATCCTACCCTTTACTATCCCCCCCTTTAGTTCCTCCCGAGAGTCGAACGAGCATCGCATTTGAGCGGTGCCCCAAGAGCGTCCAAACATGGTGCGGCGCATAGTCGCCGTTCGCGGTGCGTTGGATGCTCGTGTCGGGGACCTTCCGGAGGCCCACCTCCCGGATCTGTTCGACTATTTTCGACCCCAGCTTGACTCAAGTTTGACTCAAGTTCTGCTCAAGTTCGACTCAACTTCGACTCAGGTTCGACGCAGGTTCGACTCAGGGTCGGCTCCACTCGACGGACGTTCAACGCAGCTCCGACGTGTCTCCAGGAATGTGCCCAGGATGCGCATTCAGGCTATGGCGTGCGGTCAGGAACGTCTGCTTCGCGTGGCGTCTCTGGCCCATCACCAGACTTCAGTAGCGCGACACGCCAGCACGCAGCAGCGGAGCCACGCGCCTCAGCGTGTCGCGGGGGCCAGCGCCGCGTCGTGTCGAGCAGAGGCTGCTGGCCGCATCATTTGGGTGTTTTGGCCTCTGGTCGGGTGTTGCCAGAAGTGCCCCTTGCCCAAGGCGCCCCCAGTCGGGGGTGGACAGAACCCCCAACAGTGCCACGTCGATTAATTAGTGAATTGTCCGTTTTCGGTTCTCGAGAGGGCGCCGTGGCCGTTATTTTCCAGGCTTGCGCCCGCCAGGTTTGGGCCTCAAATCGTTTTCACTGAACCACGTTTTACTTAAGGGGCTCTGTCCATCCCCGACCCAGGATCTCCAGGGAGGGCCCCCACGACCTCCACAGCACCCCTTGCGAGGCCCAGGGGGCTTGGAGGGCTCCAAGACGGAGCTGCAAGCTGGGGCCAGCTCCGGCCGGGTGGCACCTGTAGCAACCCCCGATCCGGGGGGTCGTTTTCGGGCACGGAGGCTCTCAAACAGGTCCGCGGCGAAGAGCTGGTCTCCTGGGAACACGGGGTATCGAGAGCTCTCTTCGGCCCGCGCCGCGAGGCTGCCGCGGCCCCGCGTAGGTCTTGGGGGGCATGGGCCAGATCTGGTGCGATGAGCTCGCGCGAGGTCGAGCGAGGAGGCATCGAACAGGCAGGGCACCAATGTCGGGGTCTGCGTCGGCGGTGCGTGCAGAGGCAGTGGAGGTTCCACCGCGGGTGTCGCAACAATGTTGGCTGCTCGGACGACGCGCAAGCAGTGGTTCACCAAGCAGCAACCTTGCTCGGAATATCACTATCTGTTTTCATGGCAGAAGCACGCGCTCTAGAATTGAACCTCGAGGTTTTCGCGCATTCGAACACGGAGGAGATGGGCTGTGGAACGTTACAGAGATCAGCGACCGTCTTCGCGAACCGCACTGCGCACTCAGAGAAGAAGAGGGGGTTTGGGGGGGAGGCCGGACCATAGGTGTGGCGGGGGCCATGTCGGCACAGTACGTAAGTAGTTCGGTGTGTGCGGGGTGGGTACGCCAGCATTGTTTCCCGCTTGCTCTACCTCGTACTGAGCAACGGCAGCGCCCGTGGATGCACCGACGCCGCGGCCCGGCTGCTGCCACGGCCCCCGCTGCCGCTGCTTGCCGCGCCGGCGCCCTCAGCTGGAATACTTCCGCGTCTGAGTGCCCTCCGCCTCCTCCTGTCCTTCGCGATTGCCCGTCTGTCTTGCTCCCCCTCGCGCACGCCGGCCAATTCGCGTATCGGTTGCCCTTGGTCGCTGCTCGCTCGTGCAGTTCTGCTTCGTCGATAACGTAAAAGTCTGCGGGGGGTGTGTACAGTGGGTGCACCTGCCAAGAAACGCCCTGTTTGCCTTCAGGGTGCACCGGTTTTCCTTGTCTTCGATGCTTTTACACTGGAGAGTGTGATTTCCCCTTACCATTCAGCGATCCGTGGAGATGCATCCTTGTGACCCAATTGTAGAACCAAAAAAACACACGGTGATTGATTGAGCGCGAAAACTTTTTCATGTTCTTTTTATTGGTATAGTTATTATGTTTCTTCTTCGTAGTTTGCTTATGTTTCTTCTTTTTTTCTGAATTTCATTATGCATGTATGTTTTCGCAAGTGTCGTCGCGCGTGGTGTTCATGGGTTGGTACTCTTGTGAAAAAAACTTCGTTTGGGCGAGTTCCTGCGGCATGACATGATGCGTGCTCCTGATTTGCGGACATGTGCAACACCTCCGCGCCGCCACCGCAGCTCGGCGTCTCTGCGTCTTGGCCGCCCCGTCCGTCGGGATGGCGCATCGGCCTCGCTCCTGTATTTTTTGGGGTGGCGGAGGGAGGGAGGGGGGACTGGTCCGTGAGAGGGGGCGACCCATGGCGAGGGAGAGGGCAGGCGAGGGGGACAGAGAGGGGGACGGAGAGGGGAAGGGACATGTGTGTATATATATATATATGTATGTATGTATATATATGTATATATACGTACATAGTATATATATACATATACATATATACATATGTATATATACATGTATATACTAGAACCACGC